TATCCCCATCAGAGAAGGTTATCATCATATACCTCCTGCCTTCTATCAGAAAGTTAAAAACTTGCTCCGTAACATGCTACAGAGTGGGGTTGTTTAAGAACGTTGTGATGCATGGGCTGACCCCATTGTGCTCATCAGAAAAGATGGGAGTTTACGTTTTTGTGTGGACTAAACACTTGTAGCCATCGAGGTATATATCCTTTGCCATAGTTAGGAGAGTCCCATATGGCCCTAGGGCAGGCTTGTTACTTTTTGGCTCTGGATTTAGCCAGGGGCTATTGGCAGGTTTCTGTCAAAGAAGAGGAAAGGAAAAATTTGTAGATTTCTACAGACATTTTATTCCTTAATTTGCTCAGATTGCATTCCCTCTTATATAGTTGTTATGCAGACAATCTGCTCATGGCTCCCTTGCTGTCATGTGCTGATTATGGGAAAAATGTTCAAGTTTACATGGAACATCGTTGTCAAGTATTGGGTGCTGTACTTGCCCAAGAAGAAGATGGAGTTGAGTGTGTTATCACTTATGCCAGCCGTAGTCTGTGGCCTACGTAAAGAAATCTGTATAATTATAACTCCTTCAAACTAGAGCTGTTGGCCTTGGTTTAGGCTGAGATGAAGAAGTTTGTGAAATACCTATTGGGTGTGGGGGGCAGGTGAATATATATACTAACAACACTTCCTTAGCTTATTTTGAGTCCACCAAACTAGGAGCCTTGAAGCAGCACTGGGTGGCTTGGTTACCTTGTTTAAAATATAAGATCCACTACAAGCCTGAATGATTGCATAGCAATTTAGATGCTCTATCTCTCCACCCTGTTAAGCAACCCCATGGGGATGTAGACCAGTGTCCAGAAAAATTTGAAGTTGCTGCCTTGCAAATGCAGCAAGAGAAAGATAGCAGTGTGTTGGTTGTTCAAGATACACAACCACCATCACCGTTAGCTGAACTCTACACCCTAGAAGAATGCTATGCAGCGAAAAGACCTAGACATAGCTCGGATATGGTGCTTCCTCTCCAGGAATAAGAAACCCTCTTATAGAGGGTGTCTCACCAAGCATCGAGACATTTGTTTGATAATGATCCCTTTTTGTAGCAGAAGGTCAAGATATTGCCCCAAAATGTCTACATCAGAACTTACTGTCTTTTTTTTCTTGAAATTTTGTCTTCGGCGGAGATTTATCATCTAGGTCTGCTGAAGACTAGTTCTTGATTGAGTTGGGTCAGAGCAGGCCAGGAACAAAGACATTCCAGTACCCAGAGCAGCAAATTAAGGAGTCTCTTCAGCTACATAGAGTGCCACTTTTTTTTTTGAACATTCTTTATTTATATAGCTTTTTCACAGAACAAACATACAACAATAAGGCAAGTAGGTGGATGCCGCCATAAAAGACAACAAACCAGGTTCAGTCCAGATACATAAAAAAAATCAAATTGTTATCCCAAAAACACCACAGTGTAATATACTGGGCCGAAAGTCAATACAAACAGACCAGACTGCTAACCATAAGTAAACACTAACGGCATCCAAAATAGGAAAGAAAAAAGAGAGAAAGGAAATTAAAAAAAAAAAAAGAATGTGCATGGACTTCAAGCCTTCGAGTGCAGCAGGGAATCATATTCATTGAGCAGGAAAAAGAGGGACCAGTGGATCCATCTCTGGCAAAACTGGGCCTCTTAACCCCGAACCACCACCATAATATTTTCCATTGAGTGTATGTCCTCCACCTTAGATAACCACATAGAAATAGAGGGGGGAGCCTCCTGTTTCCAGAGAGCCGGTATACAGGCCCGAGCAGCATTGAGCAAATGCACCAACAAAGAGCGTTTGAAACATTTCCTAGAAAGATCGGAATGGAGCAGCAGATATCTGGCAGGGTCATCTCCAGATCAAACTCAGTCAGACGTTTAATAAGGTCCCTAACCTGCGCCCAAAAGGCAGTCGATTTCCTACAAGAGCAAAAAATATGTAAGAGCAAACCATCCTCCTCCTTACAGCATCAGCATACCTTCGCGGCCTCAGGGACGATCTTATGCAGGATGAGTGGAACACTATACCACTGGGTAAGCAATTTATATCCCAATTCCTGACATTTACTGGACATGGAGGAACGATGGGCAAAATACAAGATATGGTCCCCTCTGCTCGGTCGAAAATGTCCCGTGTAACTCCTCCTCCCATTTGAGAAGAAATGGTGCCATAAACGTGTCATCCGGTTGACTAAGCAACTTGTGCGCTAACGAGATGGCATCTGAGGTGGGCTCAGGAGTAACACAAAGATCCTCAAAAGAAGTACTAGGACCCAAATCCAATCCCTTATGAGTCAAGGAAGACAAAAAATGAACAAGTTGTAACCTCCAACTGCCCACGGGAGGACTTCAGCCAAGTGCCACTTTTTTATACTCCAGTTCACCACCCCTCCAGCAGAAATCATCTTCTAGGAAACAGGTTAAGCCTGGGACACTGCCACTCTGCAATGCTGTTGAGTAATATGCTGCTAAAGAACTGTGTCATTGCCGAGTAAATATGCTGCAGAACTGTGCTGCAATACTGCAATGCCTTACTAAATATTTTAGTGCAACTGTGTGAACATCCTACACTTTGTTATTTGAATAACAGTGCCTCTATTTACTATCTGTAATTATGGTACCTCTTTTACCCTCATTACAATTTACAAGATAATATCCAACTTCTGCACTGTGCAAGTCCAGATTGGGGACCCGCCCGATATACCAGCAAGTACAATATTTACAAATTAGAAGTAATACCCTAAAAGATCAAGCATGTTACATATATGAAAATGAAAAATATATAAAAAAAATATACAAAAAGGAGCTGCGTTCTCATCCACATCTTTATTATCCACGTGATAAAAAACATCACAATAAATATTGCAGGGGAAATCTCTGGATTTAAAGTGAATATTGCAGCAAATAATAATTTTTTTATATCATTTTTTATTATTATTATTATTATTATATAGGATTTATATAGCCCCAACGGTTTGCTCAGCGCTTTACATTATAGTGGGAGACAATACAGTAACAATGCAGCTCAATACAAGAGGGATTTGAGGGCCCTGCTCCTCTAGGAGGGAGGGGTTAATGATACAACAGGTAATAACTGTTGGGGATGGAGTGGTTGGAAGAGTAGAGGATTCCAGTATTAGCAGAGGGCGGGTTAGGCTTCCCTGAAGAGATAGGTTTTCAGTGATCGCCTAAAAATAAGTAGAGTAGGCAATAGTCTGATAGATTGGGGTAGGGAGTTCCAGAGGATGGGGGACGTCCTGGAGAAGTCCTGGAGATGAGCATGGGAGGAGGAGATAAGGGAGCTAGAGAGTAGGAGGTCTTGTGAAGAGCGGAGAGTACGGTTTGGGTGATATTTAGAGACAAAATCGGTTATGTAATTTGGGGCAGTGTTGTGGACGGCTTTATATGTCATTGTTAGTGTTTTGAATTTTATCCGTTGGGCAACTGGGAGCCAGTGGAGGGATTGGCAGAGAGGGGTGTCTGTTGAGCTGTTCATTTACCTTACTATTTTTGGCTGGAGTTCTGCTTTAAATGTGCCTTTTTCGGGCCAACAATAGCCAGTCTCTGTTGAAAGTGCTCCCTCCATGGCCTATTGATGCACCTATGGAAGGTGAATGAATGCATTGATTCAGAACGCATATACTATATAGGGCTCATGTCAGCAGGCATTCTTATCATAAAACAATGAACAGTGTTGCACTGCTTCCCACTTGATCCCAGTAATCAGAATATACTCATCAATGTCATATATGAAAAATCCTAATGGTTTAAAATAAATGCACATATGCGAATTGTGACAAATCTCATGTACCTGAATCAATTATGTGCAGATGGGACATCATTCCATGAGATTAAGAGCCTTATTGATCTGTACAGTATATTTTATATAGATATGAGATTTAGGTGAACGAGCAATTCAGTTGGTGGTGGAGCATGATATTACCATTTAAGCACTGACACAGATATATATTTTTGGATGGAAGAACACAGGATTTATTTTGATTAAATTTTGATTGGGCCTTTTATATTTAGTGATTCCGTGTATGAGATTTGTCACAATTCACATATGCGCATTTATTTGAAACGATTGGGATTCTGTGAATGAATGAACTACAAGTCCTGACAGCCTTAGCAGCTGTCAGCTTGTAGTACTCAATGAACAACCAAGTGCTGTGGAGCGCTGTGGTAGTTCATTGAATCTTCCTGTCAGTATATCTGCTTGCCTGTACATCCTGTATGGGCATGCAGATATACTGACAGGTCTGCAGGAGACCTGCATGGCACCAGCGGTCTGCTGATCGCTGGTGCAATACTTTACAGCTTCTGCAACCAAAAAAAATAAATGCACATTTTTTTTACCTGCAACAAAATGTGCATTTATTATTTTTGGCCAAAAGGTAAACCTATCCTTTAAGCATGTATTTTCCAATGCAAACCACAAGGGGGGACTATTCACTAAAGACCAAAGTCTTGCAGCTGCTATCAGGCTAACAAAACACAGTGCACATATGGAAATATATTATTTTCAATTTTCAGTCAGCGTGTGGAAAGCACTGCCGATAACCGGCAATTGTCAGAGAAGTGATCGGCACTGATCATCAGTGCCTGATGATCAGTGCCCAGCAGTGCTGCCCACCTGTGCCACCCACCTGGTCACATCAGTGCTACCCACCTGTGCCCATCAGTGCTACCCACCTGTGCCCAGCAGTGCCTAGCAGTGCCACCCACCTGTGCCTAGCAGTGCCACCCACCTGTGCCCAGCAGTGGCACCCATCAGTGCTGCCCAGCAGTGCCCCAGTGCCATCAGTCAGTGCCACCCATCAGTGCTGCCCATCAGTGCCGCCCATCAGTGCCGCCCATCAGTGCCATCAGTCAGTGCCACCCATCAGTGCAGCATCATCAGTGTTAGCTCATCAGTGCCGTCTATTAGTGCCTCCTATCAGTGCCCATCAGTGCTGCCTATCCGTGCCACCTCATCAGTGCCCATCAGTGCTGCCTATCAGTGCCCATCAGTGCTGCCTATCAGTGCAGCCTCATCAACGCACATCAGTGAAGGAGAAAAAATTACCTGTTTGCAAAATTTTATATTAGAAACAAAGAAAAACAAATGTTTTATTTTTATAAACTAAAAAAGAGCAAAACACCCAGTGGCGATTAAATACTACCAAAAGAAAGCTCTATTTGTGTGAAAAAAAAATTATACAAGTGTCATATGGGTACAGTGTTGCATGACTACGCAATTGCCACTCAAAGTGGGAAAGTGCTGAAAGCTGAAAATTGGCCTGGACAGGAAGCGGTATAAGTGCCCGGTAGGCAAGTGTTTAATAGAACATATTGCATATGATAGCATTTTATTTGAATAAATAAATTACATCTAATATATCTAAAGTGAAAATGATTTATTTTATTTTGGACAGAGCTGGGCTGAAAACGCTTAAAGTGCTTTCTGTGCCATTTTAGTCCATTTAGGGAGATGTTTCTTCTTGTCCCATAGGTACAACAGGAAAAGGATTGGAAATATCCCCAAAGTGAAGGAAATCTCCCTTAGACAGTTGTTGCTGCAGCTAGTGTGCCCAATGGAAGATTTTCCCTCACCTCTTGTTTCAGTGACAACTTTTTTAATTTCCCCTCATGTTCAGTCTGGATGCATACTTCCCAACTGTTTTCGCAGGACTATCCTGTGAGCTGATCTAATCCTCTGTCCTACGAACAACCCAATTTCCCAGCATTGGTGTTGCAATAGTCATTCCAGCAACAGTCTCCTAGATTGTAAGCTCCAAGGAGCAGGGCCCTCCTAACCCTCTTGTATTGAACTGTATTGTTGCTGTATTGTCTCCCGTTATATTGTAAAGCGCTGAGACAAACTGTTGGTGCTATATAAATCCTGTATAATAATAATAAATAAAAGGCCAGACCATTGATCAGTGTGGCACTCATGCAGGAGAGCAGCGAAGTCTTCTATTCAAACTCCCTGAGAGTCTTCTTATTCCATCGCCAATCGCCTCCCACACCACCATGTCCTGCCCACACAAAGGGAAAACAAGGGGAATCAATTAATTTGCTGATCTTAGTCAGTGATTGGTGGAGCCAGTCTATGACAGTGATTGGTGGAGCCAGCCTATGCCAGAGGCTAGTGGAGCCAGTGGCAGCTCTCTATAATTGGTTTGGAGGGATGGTTGCCCACTGACAGTTTGTGGAGACCCATCTTACAGCCAGAGAGATGCAGGAAACAGGGTGTCATGTTCCTGAAAAAACTGCATGCTCTGGACTACCACAACCCCACCAGCTTCAACTGTTAGGAGGTATGGAGGCCAGGAGGACATTGCTACCATTTCACTTGTATAATCCTTTTTAGCAGCAGAGGAAATGATATAAAGCAAGTTGTCCAAGCGTGAAAGGACTTTTAAATCTTTTTTGTCATAAAAAAAACTAAGTCTACTAAGAAGAGGAATTAGGAAGTAAGAATGGCCCTTTTGAAAAACAAAAAAAAAAATCATAAGTGATTCTCGTAGGGGGGTTATGGAGGGTGGAGAATGGAATTAGTCTTAAATATGGTGAAGGGTTTGCAGTTACAATGTAACCATGTCCAACATTCTTACTATGGCATGCTGCAGGTGTTGCATATTAGCCCCCACCCCAGGTGCAGGGGCAGACTGACAACTCACGGGGCCCTCGGGCAATAGGGGATCATGGGGCCCCTGTGTCCTCACCCACACTCAAAAAAGCCTATAAAAGGTACTAGGGGCATCTCATGGGGCCTCCTACTGACCGTGGGCCCTCGGACAGTGCCCGAGAGCCCAAATGGTCAGTCCGCCCCTGCCCAGGTGTCAGTCTTTCTTGTGTCCTAAATTTGGGAGGTGTGGTGATGAAATAGTTTGGAACATATATTCTTCTCTAAAGCATACCTAAACTGGTATGATGAATGGCCTCAAACTTGATCAAGTTACTCCTATGAGTTTCAGAACATATATTAGATTTAACTGTGCTGATATAAATATCTGTCATTTTTCATGCATAGTAAGAAGGAAAAGTTTAAGTATTCAGTTTGAAATGGCAAATGTGCCGAGCATATTGATGTTGATTTCATCCTTTTAACTGCTGCTTTCATTCTCAGGCAGATCACAGTCTAGTGGTCTGCAGACTTTGGGTTTGGAATGGAGTAGAGTGTGCTGGGTCATTTAATTGTGTGATATACTGTATTGAAGCGGTGGTAAACTCCACTTTTTAAGTTGTACCTACAGGGGAGCCTATAATAATGCTCACCCATAGGTACAGTGAATATCTCCCAAGCATGCGTTGTTTAGGAGATATTCACACTGAATGCAGCCGGTGCCATCACTTGCACATGCACTCTGAATGGACGGCATACCCATATTGTCCCTTTAGAGCTGTGTGCCATAAACTGTGATTCCCGTGTGAATGCACACGAGTGACGTCATTCAGAGGATGGGAGCCAGAAAACCCAGAAGGAAGACTGGGGGAAGATGGAAGCCCTGTCAGCAGTGACAGCACATCCCTGGAGGGTTTAGTTCTAAGGTAAGTATTTCATAATGCGCAAGTATGCCTTGCAGGGATTTTTTTAAATGAAAATCAGCGGTTTACTACCACTTTAAAGAGCCAGTCCTTACACAGCTAGTATTTACATTTTTTTTGAAGATGCTGGGTGATTGACTTCATTGCAGTCTCACTCCTGCTGGTGGAGGGGAAATCTCACTCTTCCTTCTCTACTCCCATACGGAAGAAAAATATATTTGAAATATATTTTAAAAATATTCTTCCCAAATATCTTGACATATATTTGTAATGCTACAATTTTGGCCATATTCAATATATTTTAAAGTATATTTCAATATATATATATATATATATATATATATATATATATATATATATATATATACTGCATGTTGGAATGCCTTTTTATTACAAAATATACAGTTGCAAGAAAAAGTACGTTCTAATTGTTTTACCTGTTTCCTCAGACAAACAGGACTAATCAGTTTATTTAGAACACATCTTCTTTTTCTTTAAAGCATCACTTTAAAGATAACCTGTCAGTAGTTTTAAAAGGTGAAGTCCTGACTAAGGCCTGATGCACCCTGGAAGTTTTTAATGCTGTCGTTTTTTTTTTTCTGCCTCTAAACACCCCTGTATGTTAGCCTATGCACATATACTGTATGACAAATATTTTTAAGAATATATTTAAACAAATATATTTTTAAAAATATTTGTCATATATTTTTGTCAGATTTTTTTTGTACCAAATAAAGTGACTTTAACATATATTTTTACATATATTTGTAAATGCATTCCAAAAATGTAGATTTGTATTTTTAAAGACATACAGTATATTTGAAATGTATTTTAAAAAATATTTTTCATATATTTTGTAATAAAAATGCATTTCAACATGCGGTATATATATATATATATATATATATATATATAAATATATTTTGAAATATGTTGCATATGGCCAAAATTTCAACTATATGTCAATATATTTGGGAAGAATATTTTTTAAAAATATATTTCATATATATTTTTCTTCCATGTGGGCTATCTCTAATATAAAGTAAATGAAAAATAATTAAAATAAATTTAAAAGAGTAATTTTTATCTTTTAAAAAGAGAAATAGGCAAGCTGTCATGGCTGATTTCCAACTGACACTGCTATTTGCTTGGCTAAGATTGGCTTCAATATCTTCTAATCACTGATCCTGAACAAGCATGCAGCAAGGGCATTCAGAGCTTCTTGGTTAGTTACTTTGAAAGTATTGAAGGCATTAGCATGACAGCCAGACAATTAACATTTTCGGAAGAAGCCATTAATAGTGGCAGCCCACATATGTCTTCAAAGCATTTTTCATTGCATTTCTTCATTTACTGTTTTCTAGGATGCCGTTGACAATGAAAAATATAGATTACTACATATAGTATATAAAATCAAATAGGAGATTATCTCTTCCCTTGAAAATCCGTTTTAACCACTTCAGGACAGCCACCTGCATTGTACTGTGAACGGGCAGCTCCTACAGGCACAGCAACGTATCTGTACATTGCTTCTGGGTTCAGGGTGTGTGCCGCCCCACCACAGGCCCTGCACCACAGGGATGAGAAACAAATAGATTTTTATTAAAACACAACACATAATACACACATTAACACGTTAGGCACACACTTAACCCCTTGATTACTCTGAGATGTTAACCCCTTCTCAGCCAATGTCATTAGTACAGTGACAGTATATAGTATTATCACTGATCACTGTATAGTGTCACTGGCTATGTCAGTGTCAGTCAGTTTCCACCCAGTGTCAGTTAGTGTCAGATTGTCTGCCGCACTACCACAGTCCCACTATAATTCTCTGATCACTGCCATTACTAGTATAAAAAAAAAGATTCCAGTATATATATCATAGATTGTAGACACTGTAGCTTTCATATAAACCAATCAATGTACTTTTTTTATTGAAGACATGTAGATTTTTTTTCATTTATATATTAAAAAACCCACTGCTGATCAAATACCAAAATAAAGCTCTATTTGTGTGAAAAAGTGATATAAATTTCATATGGGTACAGTATTGCATGTCTGTGCTATTACCAGTTAAATTTGCACAGCCAAATAGCAAAAAAAAACCTTCTGGAGCTCAAGTGATTAACCACTTGCCCTCCTGAGGCTTTACCCTCCTTCTTGACCAGGCCATTTTTTGCATTATGGGGCTACATTACTTTAACTGACGATTGCGCGGTCATGCAACACTGCACCCAATTGAAATGTATATCCTTTTTTTTCTCATGAATTGAGCTTTCTTTTGGTGGTATTTTATTGCCTGTGCAGTTTTTATTTTTTGCACTATAAAAAAAAAGAACCGACAATTTTGAGAAAAGAAACAATATTTTTGACTTTTTACTATTAAACATGTCCAGTTAAAAAATTTTAAAAAATCTAATTTCATCATAAATGTAGGCCAAAATGTATTCTGCTACATGTCTTTTCTGAAAAACAATCCCAATACATGTAAAT